GTCGCCACTAGAAGCGGCCACTTGATGAGTCAAGACAGTACATTATGTTTTATGATCATTTCGGCCACAAGCTACGGCAGTCACACGATCTCCAGCGTGAATTTAACCACTGTCACTGATCACCATCTCATTTAGGACTAGGGTTGTCAGATGGTTGGGAATTGGCGGGATACTTTTCCAAATTTTTGTATGTTCTCCTGACTCTCGACAAAGTAAAACATCTCCAGAAAACTTGAACTTATTAAGATAAACCCAAAGAGATGATTACTGATCTATTGAGATGTATTACAAAGAAAGAGACTTAGACCTCTCGTACACTTAGCCACTCGTCGCCACTAGAAGCGGCCACTTGATGAGTCAAGACAGTACATTATGTTTTATGATCATTTCGGCCACAAGCTACGGCAGTCACACGATCTCCAGCGTGAATTTAACCACTGTCACTGATCACCATCTCATTTAGGACTAGGGTTGTCAGATGGTTGGGAATTGGCGGGATACTTTTCCAAATTTTTGTATGTTCTCCTGACTCTCGACAAAGTAAAACATCTCCAGAAAACTTGAACTTATTAAGATAAACCCAAAGAGATGATTACTGATCTATTGAGATGTATTACAAAGAAAGAGACTTAGACCTCTCGTACACTTAGCCACTCGTCGCCACTAGAAGCGGCCACTTGATGAGTCAAGACAGTACATTATGTTTTATGATCATTTCGGCCACAAGCTACGGCAGTCACACGATCTCCAGCGTGAATTTAACCACTGTCACTGATCACCATCTCAGTTAGGACTAGGGTTGCCAGATGGTTGGGAATTGGCGGGATACTTTTCCAAATTTTTGTATGTTCTCCCGACTCTCGATAAAGTAAAACATCTCCAGAAAACTTGAACTTGTTAAGATAAACCTCAAACAGTTGATTAGTACATTTTAACTACAACCCATTTTCTACTTAATCATGTAAGCAATAAATTATGTAAATAGTATTGACAATATTTAACGTAAAAGTAATTGATAAGACTACCTTGAAGTTTTCACAATTCATTTGGATTTAAAAAGGTAATTAAATAAATAGCATGCGTACTTTGGTAATTACAAATTTTTAAAAATAATTCTTTTGAACTTTTTCTTTACGACATACCGTTTCTAAGTCAATTGCATAATCCTAATTCTAATATTTTAAGAGTTGATCATTTCAAACATACCCATATTACGAACAAATGCCGTTATCAATATCTTAAGTAACATCCAGTCACATTGCACATTTTATCATTGGTTTAAGGGTTTAAATTAATTCGGCGACCCACTTTTTCCTTCACATCCGCATGGTTGTTGCGATAACAGACTGTGGCCTTGCGTCGCGTTGGTTTAAAAATAGACACAATAACGTTTTAGTGAATATAAAAAAATATAAGTATTCGTTAACTCAATTAAAAAATTTTCCACAATAATTATAAAAACAAAGAAAACCCGATAGGTTATGGATGTATAGAATGCCTTGTTCTGTAAGTACATATAAAAACTCATTTTAAAACGCTGTTTGAAATCAAATCCGTTTTATTGTTTTGAAACGTAGCCGTGCACTTTATTGTTATTATCATAACCTTTGTTGATAATTTTTACTTAATCAGCGATAATTTTTCCGTCCGTGAAGTACAATGTGCGGTTTATTAGCAACTGCTTCATTTTTCGCATATCGTGTTGTTTGTGATTGAATCACTATGATAATGATATTGAAATACATATTAAGTCTACACTACATACTTTATATAAAATAAAATAAAATAAATAACGAGCAATTATCTACTTATTTTTTATTAGGTCCGGGTAGATTGTACACATATGTTTGTATGCATGTGCATGTTGTATTATCTAAACTTGAACTTGTTAAGATAAACCTCAAACGGTTGATTACTAATCTGTAGAAATGTGTTACAAAAAAGGAGGCATAGACCTCTCGCACACTTAGCCACTCGTCGCCACTAGAAGCGGCCACTTGATGAGTGAAGACAGTACATTATGTTTTATGCTCATTTAGAGCCACAAGCTGTGGTACTTGAAGTTGCTGTAGCCACACGTTCTCCGGCGCGAATTTAACCACTGTCACTGATCACCATCTCAGTTAGGACTAGGGTTGCCAGATGGTTGGGAATTGGCGGGATACTCTTCCAAATTTTTGTATGTTCTCCTGACTCTCGACAAAGTAAAACATCTCCAGAAAACTTGAACTTATTAAGATAAACCCAAAGAGATGATTACTGATCTATTGAGATGTATTACAAAGAAAGAGACTTAGACCTCTCGTACACTTAGCCACTCGTCGCCACTAGAAGCGGCCACTTGATGAGTCAAGACAGTACATTATGTTTTATGATCATTTCGGGCCACAAGCTGTGGTACTTGAAGCTGCTGTAGCCACACGTTCTCCGACGTGAATTTAGCCACTGTCACACCATCTCAGTTAGGACTTAGGGTTACCAGATAGTCGAGATTTAGCGGGATTCTCCCGAATTTTTGTATGTCCTCCCGACTCCCCACCTATTATTATTTCTCGAGAAATGTCAGTTATTCGTGTAGTCGAACCAAGTATATCTTCTTACATTAACTTAAGCTTTAACAGCCAGAGTGCAAGTGCTTTCTCTTGGTTTCTATTTTGCCGTGGTTCAAATTGGTTTCTTCTAAACTGACAGTCAATTCACAGTAGCGGACTACTGAAGATACCAATAATAGCAGCTAGCAAAACGTTTGGAAGAAATCAATCTTGGAACACAGAAGCCTGGAGAAAAAAGTTAATCAGTGTTCGTATAGATCAACGTCAAAAAATGCAAAATACCTAAAAAGAAAATAATGGAAACAGGTTTTATTCTAACTCAAATGTGAATTATTTAAAGTGATCTATCTAATACTATTTTCTGGAACGTGTAGCTAGGTATATGTTTATTTGAACCTTACTTGTTGAAAGCAGTATGATAACTCGGTGTATCTTAGCTGAAACTTGATAAACTACAATATGGCTGTTGCCGTCCGCCATGCTCCTTTTTTTTTGTGATGCCACCTATCCCACGGCTGCCACATTATCAGAACACTTTAGTTTCTATAATTAATTGTATTGTATGAATTTACAGGCAGTATATCGTTATCTATTGATGTTTAATATGTTTATCAAGTAAAAATTATTTGAAATAAATAACAGATTCTCAATTATTCATTTAATATTACGTTTAAAAAGATAGTATTACAGACAACCAATTTGAAACGTTTTCCTGTACTAACTCGACTCATTTAAGAATAAGAGGGTGTGTAAGGTGTAGGGTATATTACATTGCCATAGCTTTTGATATTATTACTTTCGTGCTATCCCATGAGATGGTGACAAATTTGTCGCATCTGATGGGGAGTCGTTCTTCCAGATAAATCCCTGTCTAGGTTCTTGTCAAAAGAATTGACAGACTCTTTATTCATCCACAATCGTATATAGAGGGTCGCAAATTTACCACGCAGCGGTTAATCCCCATGAGAATGAGAATGGATTATATTATTTATTATTATTGCTCTAGACTCTACAGTTATGTCTCTTTTACTACAAATATTGCTCTTAACTGACAAGCAAAGAACATAGTGTCTTTACCAATAAGGCATGTTTACTACAATTTGTAAATTATAACCGGCGTAGCTGTTTGTGAGTAGATCATTTAGGAACATCTGCTTAATGTATTACATTAAAAGTTCCTTATTCTCCAGCGTGAATTTAACCACTGTCACTGATCACCATCTCATTTAGGACTAGGGTTGTCAGATGGTTGGGAATTGGCGGGATACTTTTCCAAATTTTTGTATGTTCTCCCGACTCTCGATAAAGTAAAACATCTCCAGAAAACTTGAACTTGTTAAGATAAACCCAAAGAGATGATTACAAATCTATTGAGACGTACTACAAAGAAGGAGGCTTAGACTTCTCGTACGCTTAGCCACTTCTAGTCGCCACTAGAAGCGGCCACTTGATGAGTGAAGACAGTACATTATGTTTTATGCTCATTTAGAGCCACAAGCTGTGGTACTTGAAGTTGCTGTAGCCACACGTTCTCCGGCGCGAATTTAACCACTGTCACTGATCACCATCTCAGTTAGGACTAGGGTTGCCAGATGGTTGGGAATTGGCGGGATACTTTTCCAAATTTTTGTATGTTCTCCCGACTCTCGACAAAGTAAAACATCTCCAGAAAACTTGAACTTGTTAAGATAAACCCAAAGAGATGATTACTAATCTATTGAGACGTACTACAAAGAAGGAGGCTTAGACTTCTCGTACACTTAGCCACTTCTAGTCGCCACTAGAAGCGGCCACTTGATGAGTGAAGACAGTACATTATGTTTTATGCTCATTTAGAGCCACAAGCTGTGGTACTTGAAGTTGCTGTAGCCACACGTTCTCCGGCGCGAATTTAACCACTGTCACTGATCACCATCTCAGTTAGGACTAGGGTTGCCAGATGGTTGGGAATTGGCGGGATACTTTTCCAAATTTTTGTATGTTCTCCCGACTCTCGACAAAGTAAAACATCTCCAGAAAACTTGAACTTGTTAAGATAAACCCAAAGAGATGATTACAAATCTATTGAGACGTACTACAAAGAAGGAGGCTTAGACTTCTCGTACGCTTAGCCACTTCTAGTCGCCACTAGAAGCGGCCACTTGATGAGTCAAGACAGTACATTATGTT